CCCCCTATCTCTGGCCTCCTTTTCTCGTTCATTTATTGCGTATCTTTTGGCGTGTTTTTGCCCCAGACATCTACAAAACCGCATTGATGTATTTCTGCTCTTGACATTTTTATACATTCGTTGATTCCCCACATAGGAGCTTGTTTTGGTACCTTACCCTTATGGTTCATTTTTAACTGCATGTTTCTGGAGTGCTGTGCTGGTACATATTTTGTAACATAGATCAATGATTAAGCCATACGTCACACTGAGAGAATCCGATGAAATAGCAAATGCTTCCTATTGCGTTACAAGAATAAGATTCTAGGTATAGAGCCGCAGAAATATGCTAGCAGATTATACATGAGTTGTTCTTGGGGACTAGGCAAGGATAAAGAATAAAGTGTTAAAAATCCGACACAGCTGCTTTACTTTTTGAGCCCAAATGGCAGTAATCCATTTAGGCAACATGAGACATCAAAGACCGGCGACTCCAATCCAAACGCCCGATAAGCCCAGTATTCCAGACAAATAAAGAGTTGAGGAATTTGGCCAAAGCCCAACGGAAGAGCCTTGATTAACAAGTTGCACAACACATCTCTTAACCACCACCCGACTTCCTGGATTTCCGTTCATTGTTCCTCATCTTCCTTTCGTTTCGTCGTATCCTCTCCTTACGCTCAGCCCGCGACATCCCACGGATCGAGCTTCCCTTAGCCGCAGCATCTTCCTCTTTCTTCCAATCCTTCTCATTTACTTCAACCAACCAATCCTCATCCGACTTATTCTTTCCCTTATAGCCCCAGCGAGGAACCCACTCGCCCTTCTCCTCATCATAGACCAGCTTCTTCCGGCGCTCCTTGTCCGCAAGTCCAGCACCAGCTTTGCCACTGAATCTGCCAATGCCCTTCTTGCGTGCGAAAAGCTCCCACTTGGTGGGTGGCTTGGGTGTCGGCAGAGGCTTGTGTCTGGGAAGAACAGTTGTAGGCGCAGGAAGCGTCAGGAGCACACCCTGTTGTGAGGAGGTAATGGGACAAGTAGTGAGGAGTTGGTTGAGGAGAGACTGCACACCATCGCGGGCGGTGGCCTTCAGAGAGACATTTACTGGTTCGGAGCGAGAAATTTCGAGGGGATTGGGGTCATTCGCAAGGAGATGGCCGAGATCAAAAGTGTAGGGAGTAGGTTTAGAGACTGTAATGGGTCTAAAGTGCCATTGCAATTAGTATACCTCGTACATAGCAATCTATACATCGACTACTATAGATAGCGACTCACAATCTCTCGGGCTTCGATTTTGGCGCCGCGGAGGCAGCCGTCGTTGTTCCTGTTTCCGACATCGTCAGGCGCACCTCAGTTAAATCCAACGAGGTAGTATATGCGCTAGGGGAAGTGCGACTGGATTGTAAGATTGACTAGCCGATAGAAAACTGAAGCGGAAAAAAAAGTTGGTTGATAAATTTAGGGGAGCCGCTTTAAGATGACCACAATAATGACAGACCGCCTTCGATGTTGGGCTTGCGGCAACTAGACTAACCTTGAATAGGAAATCAGAGGAATCTTAGTTCAAGTTCCAAATTGTGCTCCGAATTTCAATCCAGTTCATACGCTTGGGCAACAATCAACGCGGCCTCCCCTTCCTTTATCCTATAGCAGTTTCCATTGACCGTCGTACCACTGGCCGCTGAGCCAGTGTGTTGCAGCACAATGGTTTCCTCCTTCTGCTGGGGCTGCCTGACGCGGCTTCGTCCTACACCTCGAGCCGTTTTACCTCCGCCGGTAGCAGCTCCAAGAGCAGCAGCATTTCACACATCGACGGTGCGTTATGCATTGCCAACGAAGAAGAAAAACAGCTTGGATGGTCCTCCCAAGTACCGCCAGGCCAAGTCCGCCAGAATGAAGAAGAAGAAGCCGGTTGAAAGAGCGCGTCCGCCTCCTGTCGGAGAGCGGAAAGCGCTGCGGAAACGTATCGTTCTCAGCAATCCCAACGCCCTTGAAGTCGAGGGTATGCAGGACTTCACATCGGAGACTATGGTCGATGCGCGCCTCCGGGGATCCGTTCTCGGCCTTCCTGTGCCGATGCTCACTCAGCTGAGGGCGGTTGAGGCTTTCAAGCCTAAACAGGGCTGGTCGATATTTCGCCGGCCTGGTACAGTGGTGAGACGGGAGACAGTGGAATTGGGCAGACTGATTGACGCTATCTCTAATGAGGGTCAAGACAAGGGAAAGTCTGTCAAGAAGATCATCACTGGTGTCAGAGGGTCAGGGAAAACTGTTCACCTGCTGCAAGCCATGGCCATGGCATTTACTAAGCAGTGGGTTGTGTTTACTGTCCCAGAGCGTAAGTAGATACCATCCATACGTGTCTGCTTCAAGTCTTCCTAACTAACATGTTCTTGTAGCCCAGGATCTAGTAATTGCGCATACTGGTTACGCCCCTCTCTCTGATGACACTCCAAACCTATATGTTCAGAACGAGGCGACCGCTGCATTGCTGTCTCGCACAGTCGCCGCCAATGAGCAGGTTTTGAAGACCCTACATGTCTGCCAGGAGCATCCAGCCCTCAAGTCTTCTGTTAAAGCTGGAATGACTCTGGAGGAGCTTGCCAAACTTGGTATTCAGGACCCCGCCATTGCCTGGACCGTCTTCCAAGCATTGTGGGCTGAGCTTACTGCAACTTCCCCTGCTTCTGGATCTGACAAGAAATTCAAGCCTCGGCCCCCTATTCTTGTAACTGTTGATGGCCTGTCTCACTGGATGAAGAACAGTGAATACCGTTCTGCGGAATTTGAGCCCGTCCATGCTCACGACCTTGTGTTTGTGCGGCACTTCCTCGGGCTATTGAAGCCCGGTACTGGAAAGCCTGCCCTTCCAAATGGTGGTCTCTTGCTCTACTCCACCTCTGCTTCCAATAACCCAACAATCTACAGTTTCGAGGTTGCGCTCAAGCAAATCGCTGCTCGCCAGGCTGGCCTGAATGCATCGGCACCTGAATTCCCTCAAGCTGATCCATACAGCGGAGCTGACAAGCGTGTTATTGATGCCTTTGGCTCTTCGAAGCCCACTGTCGCCAAAGAAGGCATGTTGGAGCTTCAGACACTCGGCGGCCTCACCCGGGACGAAGCTCGGGGCTTCATGGAATACTTTGCTCGCAGTGGCCTCCTGCGGGAGAAGATCAACGACGAGTGGGTTGGCGAGAAATGGAGCTTGGCTGGAGGTGGTGTAATTGGTGAATTAGAGAAGTTGGGAAGACGACTGAGAGTGACCGATTAGATATGGAATGTCTTTTCGCCTTTCTAGCATCACCTACATTCCCGTTATGCTGTTCCACGTGTACCCTTTATCCCGCCGTGTCCTTTTCACATGCAGCGCTATTGGATGGACCCGGCTTTTCCTGTTAAATTATATGTATTTTACTAGTTATATTGGGTTTTGCGTTTTGTATGCATATAATGGAATTTGAAAATATACATCTCACTTCCCTCACAGCTCAAGTACGCGGACAGATCCAGAAAAGGGGTTGGTCATATTAAACACTGAATGGCAATCAATAGTTTGCCTAAATATAAACCGGTGGGGAACCCCGGAGATAGCGTCAGGCGCAGTCGGAGATTTATCAGATGATACCTAAAATAATTTGTTAGAATAATCACTTAGGCACAGCCTTCCTCTCTTCCCCTACTGTTCTTTTCTTATACTCGAGTCACTTAATCCCACAGCAACACGACTCTTCATGTAAGAGTTGTGTTGTTGGTCCAAGTCAGTGACAGGTCAGCAGGTCAGTTCATCACTGTTCGGGAATCGTACTCTCCTTACACTCAAACCCCGCGTTCCTGCTTCACTTCAGTAAGTGGGAAGTGACCTCTACAAGCTGCACAACAGCTCACTCATATACTACTTTAGATATGTACGGGTCGAATCCTCACTCTAACTCTTCTAACCAACAAAATTCGGGTCCCCCAGTACCAGAATGGCGGCTTCCATCGACTGCGCAACAGCGGCCGTCGCGGAAGCCTACGCCTGGGCCTACTCCGCCCCCTCCACCACCGCCATCTCATCCTCCACTATCGGCGTCTTCTTATAATCCGAGCACATATGGCTCTATATCTAGTCCGTCGCCTGGCACTGGTGCAAGTGGCTCGCCAGCCCCTGGCTCAGCCAGCATGGATACCAGTTCTTGGGGAGTAAAGTACAACAGGCAGCAATATCCTATCTATGCGCCTCCGCCGCTTCCTGTAAGTCTTACCTCAAATGCACCTAGATATTGTCGTTCTGACGCTACCTTACAGCCTCGACCCCCGAGTACTCCAGCCTATTCGTCTAGTGCACAGTCTCCGATCGTGAGTCCTTTGGATAATAAGCCCTTACCAGCCAATCCAACATATGGACCCCCAACTTCTACTGCAGAATATCAACCACAATGGACGACAAATGCTCCGCATGCATCTCAGCCCCCTGTGGTTAGCCCTCTTTCTCCACCTCCGCCGCCTCCGGTACCTCCTGGATATCAAAGCTCAACACCACAGCAAGGTAATCAAACGTGGCAGCAGTTGTCGCCTCCGCCATATTCAATCCATCCTCCTGGAGAGATTCATAGTTTACAGAACAGTAGCGCCCAACACCATATTCCACTCTCATCTTCAAACGTCTCATCGCCCCAACCAACATTATCAGGTCAAGGCCCACTGACCGCTGCAAATCCCGTACCAGGTGGAGGTGCTCTACCTGTGGCCGCTCCCCCGGTTCCTCCCAAGACTAGCCACAATGCTCTTCCCACAAACTCCTCTTTATTGGGCTCTGGCGGACCGTCTGACTGGGAGCATTTGACACCTACTCCAGGGGGCGTCGATGATGCGGAGGCTTTTGGGGCCAAACAGGGCAACGCCGCTCATTCAAGTACTACATCGGAGCCAACACCAGGATATCCAGCACATATTCCCACTGTAACTTCGAACAGCCAGAACGTAACATCTACGCCGTCTGCGAATGTGTCCCCTATAAGTCAACCTGTTTATACCCAAGATACTACAGCAGCACAGCCTTTACCAGGCAATCCCAGCGCAACACATGGCATTCAAGATCCACCTCGCCCAATCAGAACTGATACTTCTGGGTCGATGTATAGTACTGCCTCTACTACTGAGACATCTGAGAGCATTGATGGTGTCATTGAAGCTTGGAATCGGCCCGTTATCACGGACACTCAACCCCCAAACTCCCAAGCTGGTCAAAGTATCAGTTCCCGAACGGATAGCCCAACGCCAATGCAAAAGCTCAGCCCGCTTGAAATCCCCAAAATAAAGCAGGATTTCAGTATACCGCGAAAAGAGGTTCAATCGGGTGCAAATACTCCCCGCTCAAGCAATACCCCCAACGAAACGAGTGCCAAGGTAGACGTATTGTCTCCACAGCTCAAGCCGTTGGATCCTTATGAAGACTTAGACCCTTGGTCTAAGTCCTCCTTGGAGCGTTACGTTGCTATGCTACGAAAGGAGGCGGTCGCTGATTCTGATATGGAGCGTTTCAAAATATTCACAGCCTTTATGTCCAAGGAGACCAAGCTACGTGAGATCTTGTACAACATTGAGCATGAACCGAAAAATGAAGAAGCTCTAAGTCAAAAACCGACACCGGCTTCGCAGGTGCCCAGCCGGCAATCTGGTAAGAATACACCTCCAATCGAGTCAGGCTTAATACCAGTTGAACCAGAGGAGAGCAGCGAGGAGTCAGCGGACGTTTCGGAAGACCTTGAAGACGGGAATTATAGCCCGGGCGGCCGTCCTATCCTTCCCAGGGTTGAAACGCCTAGTGCTCTTGGTCTTCAACGGCCTGCTTCTCAGCCGCCAGGCAAAGGACATAACTTAGGGCATCAAAGTCAACCCCAACCATTGAGGGCTACGTCGGTACCACCATCTATGCTCGACAAGCAGGAGCTGTCTCCTTTAACAACCAACCCCCCACAGCCTATATACACTCCGTTTCGTTACACCGAAGGCCCTCAGCGGGGCTCAGATCACCTTGTAATTGACCGCCCTGCATACCAGGCCTACTCGGCCTTGCGACAAGCCTCAGCGGAGAGTGGACGGGTGATGTCGAACGCCCCGCACCCAGGATCTCACGAAGATTCCCACTCTTCGGCTCCTCTTGCAGATAACGACGACGAAACTTTCATTGGGCTAATTAGGGAGAAAAGCGTTGCTTACCGCAAGGCATCCCGTAGGAAGTCGTCTCCGCCTCCTTTACCGATGTCACTCAGGAAAGGAAGGCCTGATGGCCCAGTTGATGATCTGCGCTCTATGATATCGTCACCCCTGGCTAAGCAATCAGAAAGCTCATGGCACATTACAACTCGAAAGGACCTAGAGAAGTATTCAAAAGACTTTGGTTATATACAGGAGACGGTTAGATCCTGGGAGGCTGCGAGCAAATCTCGCAGAGAAAAACTAGACAGGCAGCGTATGCATCGTCAAGAGGAATCTGAGAAACGCATTGATGCGTTATTCGATGGAAGAGAGATAGGATATGCAGATATCAATGTCCTGGAGGAAGAATTCCGCCAAACAGAAGCTCGTGCTCAATTAGACGAGGAAAGACAAGAACTGGAAGACTATATTGCAAAGGTGTTCAATCCGCTGGATGAACGCTTGCAAAAAGATATTTCTGCACTCCAGGCCCAGTATGACTCGGCGCTTGGTCAGCTTGATCATGAGAACAATAAGATCAAGAACTCGGTGACAGATAAATATAATTTGTCTCACACGATGAAAACAGTCAATGAGATCTACCAAAAGCTTGAGGCTCGCTATCAGAAACGTCTAGAAATAGCTCTAGATCGTGAACATCGGCGAAAGAAAACCGAAAGGCGACCTCTGGTCTTCATGGGAGACTCAGTAGCCTCAAGCAACTGGATCGGGAGTTTGATGAGATGGAGAAGCGAAATGTTTTAGAAGCGGCGAAGGACCGGGATGAGAGAGCGAACAGGTTGATGGATTCATTCGACGATGCCATCATGCACGGTTTGGGAGAGAACCAGAGTCTTCTCGACGATGTTTCTGCGAAATTGTCAAAGGTTGATGTCGCAACCATTCGTTCATCCAGCTTACCCGACACTGAGATCGAGCATATGTTGAGATCGGTCTATAACCTAGTAGATTCTCTACGTCAGGACTCCGAATCGATTTTGCACAATTTCGGTATCGCAGATTCAGCTCTCAATGATGCCGATTACGGCGTTTCTGTTGCTGAAGCACGTTATTCCAACGCGGATGACGATGTATTCGGACGACTCGAGGACGACAAAAAGAAAGAGGATGCCAAAATCCAGACAGATCTTAAATCCAAATTGGACAGTGTTCGCGCCGGGCCAGCCGAGATTGCCGCCACCATCAACAACCTCCTTAAATCTTTAGGCAAAGCTCCAATCACCAAGCGGAACCATTCATCAGAATCTGTCCCTGCAGGCCACCCTATTGACGTTCTCTTCCCTGGTCCTCGCCCTACGGCTAGTGCTGGTCCCAAAAAACCTGATGAAGGTCTGGAACATCAGGAGCGGCTTCGCAAGGCGCTAGAGAATGCAAAGAGGAGAAATGCCGCAAGAAATACTCCACAACCACCGAGTTAGGTATTATTAGACTGTTGCGTCTTATAGTAAATATATTAATGCTCACGATGTAACTAATATTTCCCCTTCTACTTCTTTTCTTACATGGCGAATTCCAAATTGCACGCGAAGATCTTATGTCGTGCGCGGTATTCTTTGTTGATACCAACCTATACAGAGAACACTTCGGTTTATTAGCCAAAATGCACCATAACATACAGAATTGGACTTCTCTTTATTGGATTGCTTTTCTAGACAAGAGTTTATAGAATGGTTGGTGGTTAGTCATGGGACGGAAGACACTGGTGGTGGCTTAGACCACCCATCTCCCTTGCGGCTTCTGAGTTCAGCGGAGGAAATTTGGTATATAAGATACCCTCCCCCCACCCCACCCCATTTAACGTTAAGAAGAAAAGAGCAAAATAAGAGAAAACGGGAAGGAATCCAAATGGATTCACCAAGGGACAATCATACGGAATGGCTCAAGTCTTACTAGGGCGACAAGAGTCTGCGGATGAACCACAGGAAAAGCGAGTGTTGGCGCAGACTCAAGCATAGGGAGGAAAACACGCGATCAAGACTATTCAAGACATTGCTTACTCTCGAGAGACGGCTGTCCTGGTGCAGTTCGTGCAGTTGATTACATTATGGTGGTAACGGCCACTGCCGTGCCATATAGCAAGTCTCGTACAAATTACGCGCCCAGGTGGCACAGGACCTACGCCGCTCAAGCCACCATTTATACTCTACACCAACTCTCGTTTACCGTTGAATATTTCCACAACCAGGATGCTCACCTAACAAGCCTCCGGTTTCCTTAAGGCTGTTAGGGTTGGCTTGTATTATTGGATTGTCTGATGATCCGTTCAACACTATATTTTCTAAGTGTAGCAGCAGCACACTCAGATCAGCCAGTGCTATCAATGCTGCAAGCTTTGGAATCATATAGTTCTTCTTCCACACGCCAGGGATAAACTCTAAACTGTGGCCCGAGTGCAGTCACGATGAGGATTGCAGGACAGCCTTCATCAGTCCACTGGCCCATAAACGGTTTTCTCTGATAGACAACTTACCTGTCACCTAGATATGTCAACCACCCTTTGCGGCGCAGGTATATGTGCCATAGGGTCGCTTTCAAAACTTGGTGATCAGCGTCATCCACCACGGGGTCCGCGAACGTAAGATGTAAGGACCTCCCGATTTCGATTAAATGGGAGGCGTCGATGTGTGTCCCCCCCAGTTCCAGCCGCCAATGCCAGTGCCACAACAAGAGAGAACTACTAGCGGTACCTTCCCAGATATCGGCGCATCAACCTTGCTTGGCGTTAAGTTCAGAAATCTTCCATGCTCGGGACCTCGCCGGCTCGGTTGAAGTCCGTAATTGGCTACCGAGTGCACAAAATCTTGTCCTTTTTTGTGTGGTTCAACTTAACGGTCTTGTGATTCAGTATCTTCTAGCCTTGTTATCTCGATCTCTACTCTCTGTCAGTGGGTCTGGGTACTACGCCGCCTGCGCCCAGTTGCCGTGGTTCTTCTCCTTCCAGTTTAGGCCCCTTTTCATAGCTTTTCATAGGGCACCATGGTGTAACACTTCACGTGCGAGCCATCTGAAACTACTATTCCACCTAAGGGCCGTACTCACGGGTTTCCATAGGCTGCTACTCTTTCGATTTCGTGCGGCGAAGGCAGGTCAGCCTACGCCAGAGCTAACTTAGGAGCAGATCAGTCGAAGGTATGCCATTTCTTGCTGTGAACACCTACTTGACTACGGCAGTGTGGGCTCTCTTGGTCGAAATGTACCCGCACTCACCCGTGGATCGCGGCAAACTATAAATACCGGGCTGGTCGTTGTGTTCATCTGATACCAAGATTACAAAAACCCTTTTTGCGAGCTCTGATCCAAGGTTAAATCGTTCATATTTATCTATTCTCCATGTCCGCTCCTACGAGACAACTCCGCGGCCTGTCTATCGACGATAAAATGCCACCAAGGCCAACTCAGCTCGAAGAAACACCACATCCCGAAGACGACAGTGCACTCATGGAGACTGGGACTGACGAGAGTGAGGTCGGAGGGGGGTTGCCTGAATTCTCTTCTCTACAAGGGAAATCTGGTATTATCTATGACCTTACTAAACTGGATCCCGAGGCTGAAGCGAGAGCCCTTGTGGGTTTGACGAGTCAGTTTGATGTGATCGGCTGCCGGAGAACCAAGACAGGCTTCGATTTCCAGTTCTCAGAGCGGCCACGAGTTCATATCGGCTCGGGCGGTTATACGTGCACCTGCCCGACGTTCATGGGTCTGCCGGGCATTGCCTGTCCACACGTTTTCGTGAGTTGTAGCACAATCCATCACATTCGTCAATCTCTGCTAACCTCCGAGAAGTGGCTTGTCGACCAGCTTCATGGCTGTCTTATTCCCCAAATCCCCAATTATGATGTACCGTTATCGAGTGATGGCCACCCTCCAGTCTTTACCCGCATTGAACGACTCCTTGATGGCAAACTCGAAACAGTAGCGGAGCAATTGAGCTGGCAATATGTCCGTTCAGAAGTGGAGGGTGGCATGAGCCGTCCACAGAAGGTGCGAGACCTTATGTCTGCCTTCGATACAGCCACACTCCCCGAAGATTTCCGTCTCGACCTTATAGATGACGTTGGCCAATCGCGCACTCCAGAACAGTGTGTGGTGCAAGGAGACTTCGAGGCGACCATGTTTCGGCTTGCGGTACACGATGACACAGTTTATTTTAGCCTATGCAAAGCCATGCCACCCGGTGCCTGTGCAGCGATTTATTTCGATAAAGTACAAGAAAAGTCACGGAAATTGTTGGCAGATTTCGATCGCTACTGCCAAACGGGCCGGCGTTCGGAAGGATCCAATGTGGACATCAACAACGTGATCGGAGATCTGCAGCATAATGTCAATCGCATTCAAGCGAACATCGTTATGCGAGCGCCTCACGGTGTTGAAGGAGCCGCTAAAGCCCTAGTGACACTATTGGAGGACATATGCAACCGTAATAAGGACGCGCTCGATGGCAACTTGTGGGGTGGCGTGACCTTCCATGGGGAGGACGAGGATCAACGTAACTTATACCACCAACTTATCGGAAAGGCGGAGGAAACAGGAGAGTGTTTCATCTTGGATGCCCTCGAGCAGTTAGCAGGCTCTGATCTTCGTCAATTCAAGGAGAGACTTCGAGCAATTCTTCAGAAAAATGAAGTGAATCGCGCCCCGAAGGCATACATACTGAAGTTGAATGGGCTGGTCCGTCGAGCTGAATCCAATTCTGCTGGCTCGGGACAAAAGCGACCAGCTACGGCTAGTTCTGGGGGGCATGGGCAGAGCAAGAGAACTCGCTAGTGCTTGGTGGTGCTATACATTCGTGTTTTGTTCGATACCCTGTATTCCATCCCTTCTTTCCCTTTGCTTCACACCATAGACCAACGAACCCATGACTCGGCCAAATACCAGCTGGCCTGGAATTGCCATCTACCTTTGCGCCGCCTCACATTCCACCAAAGCAATTACGAACATTTGCCACTCTATACTTTCCCCGCTTTAGCAGATTCCTATGGTGACACAAGATACGGGTTCGCGCCATGGTTTCTCATAAACTCAATCTGGCTCTCTGGAATGCACCCAACTCTATTGCTACGACGTCCTTCATTCTCCAGTCCCGACAGGTTGGTACCGGATTGCTCCAATACCATGGCCACTGCATTCCTAATTGGGGAATTGCGAGCAAGGCGGACCTTTGGTTCACAATTCACCTAGCCGTTCTAGCTTTGAAAATTGCATCATTTCTGTCCTTGTACGGCTGAATAGCTTTCGGTGTGGCGCAAGGCGACCAGGAGTATAGATTGAATTAAGGTGACATTGCGTAAGGGAGCTCCACATTGAGGAAAACGTGGAATTCGCACCACATCCCGTCAACAGTTCATAGCGATCATACTCCGTACATACCACTGATGATACCAGTCCCCGCACGCTAGTATGTAGCTCTGGTATGGTTGACTCAGATATTTGTGATTTGTTTGCAACAGGTTGTAGTGCTGTATAGATGATAATGAACTATCTTTCAACAGTTGGCCGGCTGGCCCAATGGCAAGGCGCTTGACTACGAATCAAGAGATTGCAGGTTCGATCCCTGCGTCGGTCAGAGTTTTTGCTTTTTCTCAAACATCTTCCTTAGTTAGTTAGGTCTTCGATCTATTTTTTTGTTCTTTGTCTGACCTTTCCATTCTATCTTTTCCTCTCGGCCGTTTTGTAAGGCATCTACTCTCGTACTTCGTTGCTCTAGAGAGTGCCATCGCTACCTACACTCAATTCACGCATACTGTTCTAATCATGCGCTGGTTACTCGCCTTGCGGATATATATTTCCATGAGACAATACTACTTGTTGACGCTTTCACATACCCCCCTCAGAGCACCACAGTCATAAAAAGCAAACCAAGTTTGCAGTGCAGTACCAGAATATCGGTAATTGTACTGTAACCTAAGCAATGGCTTGATTCCTGACCTTTGCCCTTTTCAAGATAATCAGTCGAGGTCTACATCATGTACAGGACTCATGGCTTCGACGCTCTCACGTTTCAGATCACAACATTCCTGATAGACTCAACGGACTACTAAGATAATGTTATACAGTAACCTATCCATGAATATACTCTTCTCGATTCAAGCCTTTAGATATTCCCACGATGGCACGAACCCGTGATACCTGTCGTCGTTACCATTGACTCTCGCCTCAGAACTGGGTACAATGGTGCTAGAGCACCATTTCTCCCCCCTCTACCAATAGCACCGATTCCTTATCACAGTTCACAACCACACAATTCTCCCATCTTGTTAGGAGCTTCGAGATAGTACTCGCCTGAAACCTCCCAGAGCCGAGCCGCCGATCTTCAACCATGACCGCGACACCAGAGACAGTGCTGACCTATCCGAACGAAAACATCGTCCGACCCTTCTTTCGCTTCTATTCTGCATTTTTTCAAATAGTGCTGGTCGCAACTGGCCTCCACGTGCTCTGCACAAAAAAGCTGCTTGATCACCCGGCCGTCAGTCCAAGTTCTTCTCCCCGATTCTACCATCCAGAAGAGAATGTATGGATCATACATGGCAGTGTCGGATTGAGACTTGACAAGAAGGGACTACACACACTGAAAGGAGCAAATTTTGAAGCAGTTGTTGAGTTTGAGGATATTGGGAGTAGCTCAAGAGTTTTTTTGGGGCGACCGAATTTAAGGGAAACCCCTATCACGGAGAGCTTTAAGGCTTGAAGGGCTCAAAATGCTATCTAGGGCCTAATGAGCTGAATACTAGAAGAGCTGTACGGTTGTGCTAGGTCTACTGAGGAAGCGCGCGAATTGCCCGGCCTCACCAACCTAGCCAGTTTGACAGGGATCTAACGCGATGACTTCCAAGGTTACGTTCGTGGTTCTTTTACCATCAAGCCCACGACTATACTCAGAAGAACTGAGGGTATACTATTCTCATAGACTCAACACCGATTAATTGCAATCGCTGGCGCTCGAGTTTTCCATGCTCTGCTAGCTGTAATATCAGATACTGTTCGCGCATCGCCAAAACTACAGCTTTCACAGCCAATCAATATCATTGAGCCAATGACGCAATGATGCACGCTACTTGTAGCCACTAATCCTAAGTATGCATATAACTTTATTTTCATTATCTATCCCAAGGTTCACGAACTTGTTGAGGCTTATTTTGTCGATCGTCGAGCGTTCGCGTAGGGCAACGAGGACCCTACTATCATCCCCCCGACCTAAGTTCTTCGATTCGAACTGTACGCGGTTTTTTTATGTTTCTGTTTGAATTTCGGCATTTTGCTTGCTACTTTATGCTTCAACTGAGGCATTGTGAATGAGCAAAACCAGCGACTAACTTAGGATAAGTCCAGGACAACCCGTCCTTGCAATTTACCCTCTTTCATCTCCTCGAAGACACTTGTCAACTTATCCATCTTCTCCGTTCGGAAATGAGTCTTCACGATTCCCCGTGCTGCGAATTCCAAGACCTCAATTGCTTCTCTCCGGTTGCCGACGGCCGACCCCGTAATGTAACAATGCTTGCCGATCAAAGTGGCGGGTAACGCACTCGCGATGGGCTGAGGGTTGTTCTCAGGAAGACCAACGCACACCATTGTCCCGTTGAAGCGCAAGAACTGCACAGACTGGGCATAGGCTGCGTTGGAAGATGTGCAGACGATGACACCATGAGCGCCCAGGCCACCAGCAAGGGACTTTACATGGTCAGATATAGCTTTGCCATTGTCATCCGTGGGAAACTTCGTGAGGTCAACGAAGTGTTCTGCACCGGATTCCTTGACCAGCTCCTCTTTGCTGCCGTGGTCGATACCAATCACACGCAGCCCCATACCCTTACTGGCCAGTTGTACAGCAATATGGCCCAGTCCACCACCTGCACCTGAGATGACAATCCACTGACCAGGTCGAGCATTGCTTCGTTTGAGGGCAGCATAGACGGTGACACCTGCGCAAAGCATGGGTGCTGCTGCATCTGATTCTAAGCCATCTGGGATGGGTGTCACGTAGTGGGCAGGCCCTAAAACATATTGCTGGAAAGTGCCAGGGGTATAGTATCCAGAGACCTTCTGATCAACACAAAGTCCTTCCGCACCGGCCTGACATGGTTCTACAAGCCAGTCAATGTGTACCCTATGTGTACGGTAGAGCATTATACATACCACAGTTCGTGCAAGCACTGGAAAGCCACTTGATTCCCACCCTGTCTCCGACTTTGAGGCCAGAAGATTCGGCTCCAGAGCCGAGCTTCACAATCTTACCGACGCTTCGTGACCACCAACTTGTCCGGGCTGTGTTGGGTGTGGAAGCCAGCTCCACTTAAGGTCATGTGAGTATTGATATTAGAATATTCAAAAGGGTTCTCAGGAACATACAGAGTTTGTCATGATACTGTAGTCTGAATGGCACACACCGGAATGGGTTCTGCAGGCGTGTCAGATGAACACTGGGCCCAGCTCGGCTTGTCACTGTGCCGCGAGTTCAGTCAGAGCTTACAGATTGATCAGTACCTCGCCTGCGCCAGGCTCAGGGACGTCTAGTTCTACCACTTTGGTTGAAACAGTCCCAGGCTGGTCATAGACGGCCGCCTTTTGCTTCTTTGGAATCTCAGAAGTAGCCATAACGGACTATGTGTGAACTTGACTAAACCGTGTGTTTTGATAAAAACGTGATTGGGATGTTGTAAGACAGATAGTTTGAGAAGTGTCCTCGCAGGACTGTGGCCCCAAGTTCGCTCTTTTTATCTTAGGTGAGCATGCCACGCCAAGTTCCTAGCTGTTAGGCAGTGTAGCCGAGACGGGTAGGAGGAGGTGATGATCACAGCTGGCTGCGGGGGTGCTGCGAGTGCACATCTTTCGAGGGGCTCGTCGATCGCTTGTGAATGCCTCATTAAGGGTTACATTGTATCCGGCTGAGCCTACAAACCAATCATGTGGGCGTTTCTGAAAGTTAATGGGATCAAGAGTGAGTGAGGGGGAAGCGATGACCGAGGGAGTTTGCGCTGAAAGGCCTCGGCAAGCTATCTTATGTCAGGCGTTGTCAGATCACCGCGCATCACTGAAAGTTGGGGATTTTGGCACGCCTCAAGGATACCAAACTCAGGGAATCCCGCTATTAAATACCCGTCCCAAGCCATTGTCTCAAAGGTACCCATTGGGACGATGCGATCGTGCCTGGAATCTCGTACTTTAAATCCTTCGGCCTAATGACCACCGAATGGCGTCGCAGCGATCCCCGAGACAAATAAGATGATCTCCCCCACCCTTGAATCTCAATTCTTGGAGGCCATTGATCTGTCCATTTCCAGATCAATGCAGAGCCACAGAGTTTAAGTGAACCTGATCACACTCAGGTGACGCAATATTCGTGTCCGACTAAAGCGTCACTCAAACAATCCATCCTTTACCCCGCAATCTCCCCCGCCAGAATCGCGATCCACCACGACAAACATCTCGCCCAACACAATTATTGCAACATGCCTATTCCAATTGTAGATTCTCACATCCATCTTTTCCCAGAGTCTCACCTTCCAACTCTCGCCTGGTATGGCCCGGAATCCCCCCTGGGATCCCAACACTCAGTCGATGAGTATCGCCTTGCGACATCCTCGATCTCCACCACCGCAGATACCGCTGACCTGACATATCTGCGCGGCTTCATTTTCCTCGAAACAGATCGCATATCTTCCGTCGAGGAGGCTGGGAAAGGATGGTCTCATGCTCTAGACGAAGTCTCACTGCTTACGAGAATCATCACCGGGGCTCCTGCGGCGGGTGAGGGTCACCACGATAAAGATAGGCATCTCTGCCTGGGGTTTCTTCCATGGGCACCTGTGCCCGGGGGATCTACTGTGCTACAGAAATACATGGACCTAGTGAAAGAACGTACCAAGACAGATGACGTCTGGAAGAAGCTTCGGGGCGTGAGATATCTATTCCAAGATAAGCCGAAGGGTGTCATGCTGCAAGATGACGTTGTTGAGGGACTGAAATGGCTTGGGAGAGAAAAGTTGGTATTCGATCTGGGGGTGGATGCGAGGCAGGGTGGATTTTGGCAGTTAAGGGAGGCAGTCGAAATGATGAGGAGGGTCTATGATGGTGTGAAAGAAAGCGAGAAGGTTGTTATAGTCATCAGTATGTTTGAACTTGCGGATTCCCATTTCACCTCTTCTCCTCTCTCTCTCTCGGCCGTGGTAGTTGTTATCCAAAGCTGACGAGCATGCAGATCACCTCTGTAAGCCGAATCTCCGGCTTCCCGATCCATCGCCCGCCTCGATAACGACGCATCCCGAATTTCTGGAATGGTCGTCTCTGGTCACCGCCATGGCACAGTATCCCAACACGTACATGAAGCTTTCGGGCGGCTTCTCTGAGCTACTGCCAGTCCCTTCGGATCCCGAACCTGATATTGCTTCTATTGTGGAGAGGATTCGCCCTTGGACTGATGTAGTGTTTGATACATTTGGTGCTGAGCGAGTGATGTTTGGGTCTGATTGGCCGGTCTGCAACGTAGGGGGAGGCGGTAACGCAGTCACCTGGAGACGTTGGAAGAGCATAGTGGAAAGCATCTTAGAGAAGAGGCAGTTAACTGACGAAGAGAAGAGAAATGTATGGGGTGGAGTAGCAGTGAAAGCATACGGAGTCGAGATATGATCGCCTAAGAACCTTTTTACTATATACACTATCTATCAAGAATGAACAACAGAGATTCCTATCCACCCATCTAATACCTACTGAAGATTTACAAACGCCCCACCATCCACAAGGAGCTGTGCACCAGTCTGTAAACACACAGTCAGCACCCAACATACCCCCAAACTTGGAAGACAAAGGAATAGGAAATGAACCTACCACATAACTACTCAACTCCTCACAGGCCAAAAACACCGCCGGCCCCGCCAAATCTGGCGGCTGCCCAAGCCTCCCAAGGGGAATCCTCCCCTCCATATATTCCCGCTTGACAGGATCACTCATATCCTCATCATTTAGCTGCGTCCGAATAGTCCCAGGTAACAGCGCATTACACCGGATATTATATTTCCCCAGTGCAACCGCACAAGATTGCATAAGACTTAAAACTCCAGCCTTAGTAGGCGTATAATGAGTCTGCTGACCGCCACCCACAAGTGCCGAAATAGAACTTATCCCGATAATAGACCCGCCAGGCGGCGACTGTTCCAGGGCCATCTGTCGTGCCGCCGCCTGCGTAGCATAGAAGGCTCCGGAGAGATTGGTGTTTACCGTGTGGCCGAGGAGGGGAGGATCAACTCTGTAAGAAGAAATGGGAATGTTAGCATACCACTCTACATACTATCATTTTGAACAGCCAAACGGAACCTGCTTTCACAGCATCAAAGATAGGATAGGGTAGGGTAGAACGAACTCCAGGAACTCGGCGAATTTGCACACGCCAGCGTTGCTCACGAAGATATCCAGTCGGCCAAAGGCAGCGACCGTTCTGGCGACGAAGTCGCGTCCCGTTTCAGGCTGCGTGACGTCCCCCGGGACGGCGATGAAGCTGTGTGAGTCGGCGCCGGTGATCTCGGAGACGTCCTTTTGCAGCGCTTCAAGGAGAGGCTCCTCTTTTGGTCCGCCCAGGTGGTTGATGGCTACTTTTGCGCCGTGGCGGAGGTATTCGAGGGCGATGGCCTTTTGGGACTTGTGTTAGTTTGGGACTTTAAGGGGTCAGAAGGGGGTGGGGATGAATTACCCTGCCAATTCCTGTTAATCCGCCTGTGATGGCGGCGACTTTGCCTACTAGGAGTTGGGGAAGAGGCATTGTGTGGGTTGGTGTGTTTGGTTTTTGGTTTGGGATGGGAGAGAGGGGATCAGGGACTGTGTGATTATACTCTTATAGCACAGATAATTTTTCTCAATTGATTAATTACGCCCGTCGTCGTGCCTTTTGCTTCTTTCGTTTCTCCATCTCAACCCCGCCATGCGATAAGATAGTGCGCAATTGGTGGAGTTTTGCTCGGGTTCTTCGTGCTATTGTTACCCCGAGCCCATCGATGTTTACCCCACATTTTGGCCAGTCGGGTGGGCGTTGCGGCAAGTGCCTGTCACATGGGTTAAGGTGGTCGTCGGGAATTTTTTTTTTACCAAAATGGATGCTTAGCATTCTGTCTATGTAGTTTCAACGTGAAATTCATAACAATATGTACATTAAATAAAGAAAATGCAATGGAATTTAAGATCCCGCTGTATCATCCCAAACACGAGTTAGCGACAAGTGGAGCTTTTAGTGAGCCGCGCCATTGGCTCCGTTTTCCTTATCCGTAGGCGGAGCCAGGCTCTTCTGAGGAGCAGGAGTGAGGAGGGCAGAAGCTGGGATCAAGGGAGCGGCGGGGTTAAGCTCGAGACCGAAGCCTGGCTTGTCTAGGATGGAGACATCGAGGTAACCCTTGGTGGGAATGGGCTCGTTGAGGAACAGGTTTCCAAAAACTGGTTCAACGGTGTGTCCATCAGCAGAGTTGGCAAGGTACTCCTGGAATGGTGTGTTGGGCTGTGAAACCACGTAGTGGTACGAGTATGGGCCTGATGCATGAGGGACAACGGGGATATCGTATGCGGCTGCGAGCGCAGAGACCTTGAGCAATTCTGTCATACCACCAACCCACATGACGTCGGGCTGGACGATATCAAGGTTACGACCTTCGACGAGCTTGCGGAAACCGTAACGGGAGTATTCGTGTTCGCCGGTGGTGAACTTCACAGTGGGGTGGGCTCGCTTGAGGAGAGCATGGCCGTCGAAGTCATCGGGGCTCAGGCACTCCTCCCACCAGTCAATGTCGATTCCCTCAGCTTCACATTTTTTGACAAGCTGAATAGTGTAGGGAACATTCAACGACATGTAGCAGTCCACGCGCAAGGGGAAGTCGGGACCAACGCTCTCGCGCTGCTTGCGCAGGTATGCCACGTTCTTCAGGAGTCCTTCGGTACCCTCGTCTGGGCCGTGGGGCAGAGCTACCTTAGCTCCAGAGAAGCCCATAGCCTTGGCTGATGCGGGTTGGGGTCCGGTGCAGTAGAAGTCGAGTCGTGTCCGAGTAGCTCCTCCGATGAGCTTGTAAACGGGTTCGTTACGAATCTTTCCCTGGAGATCCCAGAGTGCCAAGTCGATCACCGAGATGACAGCAACTGGAAGACCCTTCCGGCCGTAGAACATAGACGCACGGTACATCTTCTCGAACAGGTCGTTGACATCGCGAGGGTCTGCAGTGAGATGAAGTAATTAGTCTGACTATATCCCTCATCACGGCAAAGACTGAGAAGGTTCGCACCTGCGCCGATCAAGAAACGCTCGAAGTGCTGGTGTACCAACCAGCAGGCTGGAGGGCCACCAAAGCCAGTCGCGAAACCCTTGGTTCCATCCGTGGCTTCTATTTCCACACAGAATGAGCCCAAGACATTGATTCCCCACGATGTACGAGATCCGCGATATTGCGCCCATTTAGTCATGGGAGTAGAGATGTCGCTGTCGATCAGCCAGTGACCTCCTTTGACCTGAATTTAGAGTAAGCCGGTATATCTTTCCAAGTAGGGCATGAACACATCATTGAAAGAGGCTCAACATACATTGTGATAATCACCACCGGATCCTACACCGTCGATGATGAAGGTGCGGATCTCTTTGATGCGGGGAAATCCAGATATAGAGCCCATGATGAAAAAAGGATGAGGTAGAAAAGCAGGACAATGTGCTAAACCAGAAGATCTATAGAGAATAAGGAATAGAAAACACTCAGATAAATTACAAAGTTGCGCCGGGGGTAAAAGGCCATATTTGAACGCATAAGAACCCCAAGCCCTCGAGGGGGCGTGAACATACCCTCGGTCAAGATCCCGTGTCTCGGTGCAATGCTCCCCCGAGCCTGTCAACACTAAGCAGTTTCCCAAAGGGGCAAAATCCTTCTCACCGGGCAGTTAGTCATCGGGTTCGTGGGAGACGAATCGGGGGACTCCGATTGGCAGAATCCAGTGATTTGTGGAGAATCTCTAAATGCGAATTAGTGTTTTGCGGGGTTAGTTGCCGGTGACTGCCTCAGGCCTCAACATGTTTGTCACTTCTCTTCGCCCATGTTGTTGATTCTTTCGGTGTTCCTTTCCCTCTGTACCCTACTCCCCAGACCCGGTTTCTTGGACACTATCTAGGTGTTAGATCGGACTCTTCACAGAATCCTTCGGCTTTCGGACCGAACCAAATTCACCACCGATACGGGTCCCCGTCACCATGCAGTAGGGGTTTGACCGAGGATCTGTCTTAAACCCCGACCTCGCTACAGTACCATGCCGAACACTGCTGTACCCGCAGTCTCTGCGCAGCAGACTCCACCGATAACGCGCCCCTTTGGAGATCAGGACAGAGATCAGAGCGCAGATGAATCCTGGTCTGCTGTTGATAGCGATAACGATCTTGTCACTCAAAATGGAAATGCGTCTCGCTCACTGAAACGCAAGCGCCCTCTCACAGTGTCGTACGTACCTCCGCCCTCGGGCCTGCAGCACGAGGTTACCATCTTCTTTCCCCTCGTCCTCTGGCCCAATTCCAGTACCCGATGATCGTTTATGGAATAGTCAAACTAACGGCTCAAGATGCGAGCTGTGTAAGCAACGGAAAGTCAAATGTGGTGAGTAATTCTTGCCTCAGTGATTCTGCACTAGCCCTTTTGCGACCCTCTTTCTCTCGCGATAGATGATGCTGTAGGCTGAAATTATTAGATCGAGCTCAACCAAGTTGCGGCTGGTGCGCTCGTAATGGCCAGCTATGTGAATACAAAGAACGAAAGAAACCGGGTCTTCGGGCTGGGTATGGTAAAGAATTGGAACAACGTTTAGGTATGTTTTCTTACTCTTCAACTCTCGCTTGTTCACTTTCATCTCTCAGAATTTTGCTCACATGTTTCACAGACAGGCTAGAGGAGGTGATTCAGACACAGGCCCGTCTCATTGAAACACACATCCTACAGAGTCAGCCTCGGTTAAATCATGAGTTCCCTCATGCTGCTCCCCATTCTTATAGTTCGCCGTCAGAACCTTCTGCTGCTCATGGGCCAAGTCCTCGAAATGCAGCTTACTTTAATGAGCCAGCATCTGTGCCAGCTCATCCACGTCCGTCTGACGCATCTATTACTAGTCCTTCAGACATCTCCGTTAGGAACGTGATGCATAGCCATCTAACAGGTAGCCTAAACCCACCTATACCTATCCCACAAATTTCTGATACCACACACCCGAGTGATTATACGGGAAATGAGTCATCATTGAAGGTACCAGTCAATTTGTTCTCCAATCAGGAACAGTCATTTGCGGACCCAGAACTCGATCTCCCACCGTACGATCTGCTATACGCGCTGGTCGACCTTTACTTTGACCATATAAATTCGTGGTGTCCTATTCTTCACCGACGTACGACTCTAGACACCTTCTTCGGCCCATCCCCTCTTGAAGAAGCCGATCGCATGGTTCTGTATGCTATCGTTGCAACTACTCTGCGCTTTTCGAGTGACAGTAGGCTCAACGAGCAAAATCGGAAGCGGTACCATGATTCGTCCAAGCAGAAAGTCTTGCTTTATGGTTTAGAGAACTCCTCGGTTAAGGCGCTTCAGGCCCTGGTTATACTGGCTTTGGACTTAGTGGGCTCCTCCAATGGGCCTCCCGGTTGGAAACTGCTTGCCCTGATTACGCGATCCGTGGTTCAGTTGGGGTTGGCTGTTGAATCCAAATCCTCACTCATAGCTCCCGTTTACCCTTCCATCTACACCCTAAGAGCGGTTACTCTCCCCGACTCAGAGTCTTGGATTGAAGATGAAGGCAGGCGCAGACTTTTCTGGATGGTATATTTCCTGGACCGATATTCGACCCTTGCAACAGCCTTTGATTTTGCATTGGACGATAAAGATATCGACCGCAAGCTCCCATGCAAGGACGAATTTTTCATGAAAAACCAGCCCGTCGAAACTAGATGGTTTCACCACTCGAGCGATCGTGCTGACTATATAAAGCGTGCTGAAAATGTCGGCTCCTTCGGACTTTACGTGGAAATTCTCGGCATCATGTCCCGTATTCATACCTTCTTGAAACGGCCCGTGGATATCGGCGCTTTATCGGATGTTGAAGAGTGGCAAGCAACATATCGCAAGTTGGATGGTGAGCTAACGGCCTGGGAGTTTGGCCTTCCGGCTGAATATGCCTACGAAAACTCATCTAGGTTGTTCAATGGCTCGAAATCAAACAAGGGCCTCCCATGTGACTGGGTTCAACTCCATGCCACATATCAAACGTAAGCATTACCATTAACCCTGATCTTATTCCCGAGTTATCTCGCAATGCCAAATCTAAATAATTACAGTGCGGTAATAAGACTCCACTCATCGGCTGCATACCCAACGACTCGATCCCCGATATTCACGCCGTCATACAGTGCCAGCCAGCGCTGTTTATTCGCAGTCGAAAACATCCTTTCTGTGACGCGCTTTGTTGTAGATAACAACATGCTCGATAAGCTTGGACCACCTTTTGCCTTCACGCTCTGGGTCTCTGCGCGCTTACTACTTGTCCATGGCTCTACGATCGCCCATACTGTGAGCCCGGATATAATCTTCTTTGTCGATACGCTCGCCCAGATGGGAAAGTACTGGAAGGTAGCTGAACGCTACAGCACAATCCTGCAGCGTGTACTTGACGAGTATGGTGAATATCAACAATCTGGTGTTGAAGATTCCGAGCGTGTAACGCCATCCAGTGTGAAGATCCTCGCAGATATGAGGCGCTGTGCTTTTGACCTGGACTTCTTGATATCTCGACAGCCACGCTCGTCACCTGCAGGAAGCCAGCCGACAGTACCAACCCCGGCCGCGCATCCACGCAACCTTGCACCAAATGAATTAGAATATCTTGATGTTTTCGGCTTCTTCAATGTGCCACGAGTACCTGCTGCCAGAGCTCCCGATATCACTGGCCTCGATATAAATGAGACGGTCAACAATCCTATGTCAATAAATGGTCTTACTGGGTCTGTTGTGGATGGTTCTGCGCCCAATGCAAACGAATTTAATATCACAAACTACTTGATCCCGACTCCGGAGACGGACTGGTTATTTCGCTCAGAAGGCTAATCATTACCCGCCAAACATTTTCGGATACCACCTGCTTCGCCCTCCAACGGTCAAGGAGGGCTCTTGCATTCCGGGTTTAACACCAGGCCGCCATGCATGACATATTTAAGGCGTACCCTTGTCTTCCAGCTCACCTAACTGAACAGACCTAGTTTACCACCATGGATCTGACCATTGGACAAAAAGCTTTGTCAAATGTTACAACACAGCCATAAGTGAGAAAGGTTTAGCCCGAATATGCTATGGAGGTTTTTGCGACGCAGAGGGGCACGATCGAGCCATTCCTCTAAAGTTAAGCTAGACCCAAAAGCAGGGTTCATGCTACACTATCAACTCCACTTACCATTATTTTGCTTGCCTGATAATGTAGCTTGCCACCAGTACGAGCAACTCAATCGTTGTTCAGCTTCACATACGCCACGGGTCATTGCAATCTTTGAGGATATTGCTACCGCATCACTACTCCCTTAGACTGTGGCCAACAATCCAGAGCCCTGAGACCACCAAGTATGTGCCGGAGAAGTATGTATGATAATATTCTGAAGCTTTAAGCATTTCAAAGCACATGTACAGTAACAGAAAGTCTTTGCAATCCTTCAGCGTATCCTCAGCGCAAGTTATGAAAGTAGAAAAACAAGATCGAAAAGAAAAAGAATGAGATGCAAGCCATAGAGTTCCCATGAAGCAACTCAGGAATCGAGTTTAAAGGATCCAGCCCCGAACATTTGACAAAGAGAAAATGCTAAAACAAACGAGAATGCATCTCACGTATCATAAAAGGCGTATTCAATCAGTCATGCGACGGTATCTGACTCTTCATGTATGTGTCTTGTTTCATCAACGATTTGGGATATAATGTCCGGGCAATAAGCTCCCTATATGCAAATCGCAAGCCCGGCAGACCAATATCAATACCATATCGACCCTAGTGTGTAAAGCTAGCCACAAGAAAACCTCAACGGCGAGGAAAATGTGCCTACTGTTCAGTTCCTGGGCGTCGGTAGTTCTTCATCAGCGGGTTCAATTCTGACGAGTACTTCTTCTAGGAATCCTTCCAAGAATGAGGAGACATCGGCGCCCATTCCAACGGGTGCTTCGTTGTCCCAACGCTCAATCCTTGTGAATATTCCACCCAAGTCGTTCACAAGAGACTCCATCATTTGCTGAACATATTCCCGATTTGATTGGAGTTCGTATGTTTCCATTCTAGTATGGCCATTTTCTGCACTTGGGTTGCGCGATAGAAGTTCCAGGCGACGAGAACGACGGCGAACAGCCGCCTTTAGAGCAGGTAAGATAACACTATTCAGCGCTGTAATGTCGTTTGATGGAGGCATTTCAACACTAGGCTGTAGATTAGAATCCATACCCCTGTGAAGCGGACCAAAACTACTCCCCAGACCAGGAGGCTGCAATGGTGTCTGGAGAAGTCGTTGTGGTTGGGGAGATGCGTGTCTTGGTGTTGGTGGCGGGCGAGGAGATGGTTGGAACGGTTGGTGGTGAGGACGGGTTTCCGCTGCAGGTTTAGGACTCTGGTCCGAAGGACGTCGCAAGGGCTGTGCTGGCATGCGTTCCTGATGTGATGAGACCCCTAAAGCGCGAGGTAGATTGGCTTTTCTAGATTCTTGTGGAGCTGGAACGGCACGCCGGCTGGTCACGGAGGGCGAGGGACTTTCTGGGGTAGGATCAATATGAAGAAAAGATATGTCTCGGGCCAAGGATTGTTGCAGAGCTCTATCGTATTCACTGCCAGGGCTCTCCTTTAGCTGTTGGGGAATTGGTCTCTGAAGTTGGGATGGTGTTCGAGGGTTGACCTCTGCCGGGCCCTGTTTCACTGGGGATGGTGGTAGCGGAACTTTTGTGGGTGACAAAGGCTTTGACGCAGCCGTTGAAATGCGCTTCGTCTGTGCAGGTCTCTGTGGTGTGTAATTATTTATTTCCACTGATTCTCTTGGTGGCCGATCTTTAGGCTCCCACTCTGACGATTCGTGACCTCGTGTGTTCATATCCGCTTCTTTCATGGGCTTTAGACCAGGGCCCCGTCCAGCGGGGCGCACAGTCCCAAAATCCCAAAGATCATCTTCGTCTTCGGCGTTTGTGGGCTTCGGTGGAGGCTCAAATGCAGGCTCTTCTTCATCATCGGCATTTTTGTTGCCATAGACAGCATGCCACCGTTCATAGCGTTCAATCAATTCTGTCAAATAGTTGGTCTTCTTCGCCCTCTTGATAAAAGGGTGTTCAAGCAATTCTCTGGCAGACGGTCGTTCCCTAGGATCGCGGCGCAGGCAGAGCTCAACGAAGTTTTTGAAAGATTTGCTGAAATTTCCTTGCAAAGTAGGGGGAGGGTTCTTTGGGATCAGAAACAAGACCTTCATAGGATGAATATCAGAGTATGGGGGCTCTCCATTGGCCAGTTCAATTGCTGTGATCCCGAGAGACCAGATATCTGCTTTGTAATCATACCCTGATTGCTTGATAACCTCTGGAGCCATCCAAAAAGGTGTACCTACAAAGGTGTTCTTCTTCGTCATCGTTGCGGATAGTTGGCCAGAAACACCGAAATCCGCTAGTTTTACCTGCCCACTTGAGGTTAAGAGAATATTTGCAGCTACCATGCGATCAGTTATTGACTTTTCTAAGAGCTATCACGGAAAGAGACGGTTACCTTTTATGTCGCGGTGCAACTTTTTATCGCTGTGAAGATAGTCTAGTCCTCGAAGGAGTTCTCTCAGGATGATCATGATATAATCCTCCGGGATTGTCCCCGGGCGCATCAAATCAGAACAACTACCCCCAGAGCAAAACTCCATAACTATCCATAAGCTTGAGCCCTTCAAAAAAGAGCCATGGTACCTTGTCACATATGGGGAGTTGAGTTCAGATAAGATGGCAATTTCTTGGATGATGTCTTCGACTTCGTCTTCAGCATTTTCCACATCGATAATCTTGATTGCAACAGAGGCGCCCGTCCGCTTATCGACCCTAATATTCACGAGTCAGTGTCAAGGAAAATCACTCAAGTCAGAGATTTTTTAAATGTCGTATCATACCCTTTGTAGACACGCCCAAAGCTCCCACCCCCTGTACTTCAAGTTAGGGCACGGTGCTACATTGACGAGAGGCCTGTGAAAAGATAAAGCATACCAATGCAATTCTGCTTCATGTAAATTGACTCTGGATCCACTAGGCCTTCCATTTTTGTTGAGTGTGAGATTTATCGTGACGAATCGCTAATTAAGGGTTCATGTGACTCGGTAGCACTTCAATCTGTCAGCTTATGCAAAAGTGAGATGCGCAATCAAAGATCAGTCATGCAGAGCGGCTATATGCAGAGAAAATGGAGAAATGAATCAAATAAAGACAAAAGTATGGTGGAATGGATAACAAAAGATGACAGCGCATAATAAGCGTCGAAGGATCAAGATAACAACATACCGACCAAACAAGGGGGACGGGCCTGAATTGCAAACAGACAACTAGGCATGGAACACTGAAGTTATTGTATGAATCAATGGCGGCTTATCAAGGAACAAAACTAATAAGGAATTAGGCTCAGAGTTATCCCTGCGGATGTTGTTGCTCGTTTCGACGCTCCACTTACTATTGTTTTGATGGGATCCCTCGTCCGGTGGGATCTGGAGCTGTAGGCCATCAACAATGCGGCGAGAAGCTTTAGAGAGACACAGGAACAAGCAAGATTGAATCTTTCTTGAAGCTTGTCCAAGCAAACAACACTGATCGTAGCGAGGGGCTCGTATGGACTCCTGTCCTGGCAACAGCTCGAAGAAGGATAACAAAGGATTGTTTTTCCCTTGCATTCATCCGAACAGCAACCACAGGAACCGGCTGGTGATTGGGGCAGGCGCGGGGTCATTTTGCCGGGCGGTCGAGTTTCCCTTTGCTCCAGTCACGTCTCCATATCTCTCAGGCGGTGAAGGTGAGGAGCAGATCCAGTCAGTGAACCCAATCACATGATTGCACACTAGATAGTTAAGCAGTTATGTAGACGGGAGTCGTAAGACTCTGTACTGCTTGTACCAGCCATGTCTATCCTTTGAAAGGTTTTGCTTGATCTGCCTCATTTTTTGACTTGGAGCTGAGAGATTACCAAAAGAGCAGTATCATGTCAGAAGTCTAGTATTGTACAAAGAAGCTCTATTATATATCTTGACTTATACATATAAGACCACTCTATCTCATCAACACGAGAACATCTATAACCTCTATCTATCATAAAAATCCTGCGGAGCTAACAATATAGGTCCACAGAGGTCTTAAGAGTTACCTATAGGCATACTCTAGTGAATGAAACCTCTATCAGATGCTTCCAAAATCGCCTTGTACCAAACATTAGCCATCTTGGCATAGCCCTGCTCATTTGGGTGGGTGTCGTCTGCGACTCCATTCGTGGTATAGTCCTTGGGGTATGAGAGCCGGTTGTTATCATCGTCTGTCTCAGGGTCCATATCAGCCAACACGATGCGGACACCATCTTTTTGCATCTTGTTAGCTAAAGACCGGTACTGGCGATTGACGTTAGGACGGTTGGCCTCAGTCATTTTCTGTACAGAGGGTATTAAGGTGGACAAGACAATCGTTGCGTCGTGTGTGTCCTCAGCTTTCAGAATACTCTCAATCAGGCTCGCATACGCTCGCCAGCGCCTGGGATGCTAATGTTGCGTCTGCAATCGTTGGTTCCCGCATTGATCAAAACCACATTCGGTTTATATTTGAGGGATCCCTGGGCCGCTGCCTTGACCTGATCGATGGTGTCGCCGGAATGCGCCTCGACATTCTGGAGGTAGCCATGTATGTTAGTATCATATCAAGATTGACGACACGGATTGGAATCGTTTAGGGGAAGGCAACGAACATCGTCTTTCATGGTACCGTGGTGTTTAGTTCCGACCATATCGACTTCCCAGCCGGATGAGGTGAGTTTACCCCGTAAAGGCCCACGGTAACCATTTCCAGAAGCAGAGTTTACACCCCATGTAATCGATGCGCCGAGTGGGAGAATTCTTAGGGGCACCTTATCGGCTCTTGTTGTCACACTACCACCCTTGACAGGGGCGAAGATCCCTGTTCGGAGTGGAATTGCTGTGCTAGATACAACTGATAAGAGAAGAAGCCAGAGGGCAAAAAGAGGATACGACTGAGCCATTTTCCTTTGCTGTTGTGTCTGTTAAAATCACTTTGTGTTCACACTTCAAGGGTTCCTGGCTAGTGTTCGTCTTGCATGCTCTTAAATGATTGCGACTGAGTTGCGAAGGTGGTTCTACCGTGATTTAGCGACCGTCAGCCACGATGATCGACATCCTTGGCCCCGGGCCATCGTTCCAGGGCGATGCAGAATCCTTCGGTCCACAAATCCTTCCAGGTCCACTCGGAGGCTATGTTAGCGGGAGTTGGAACGTTTGCCATTGTTATTCGGCAGCTCGTCTGCCAGATATACGTACATCACAGGCGCCCAAGAAGTAGGGCTATTTTTACCTAGGCTTACTAGATATAATAATGATAGCTTTGGCTTATTTCAGCAATCACACGTGAGATCTGCAGAGAATCATATCACATAAGCGCTTTGTGGCTCGGAGTGTTCACAAGTATATCGCATCATAACCTCTGGAACAGCTATCTAAAAATGGACATAACCAGAAATATTCCAAGTAACGGCAGATCTTCCCGATCATATGTAACTTACCCCTCAAATGACCAGCATAGTTGTGTCAGTTATATGGACATCTCGGCATTTTCTTGCCGATTGTTGGGTTATGCAAGAGCACTGTGAACCTATCATGAAGGATAAACCTCTAGTTAATTCCGATATGAACGGAATATGAAGGTGTGTTTCGTTTGTATATTAAGGCCCCCCATCCACGAGAAGCTTCAGCCTGCTGATCCATTGACCCTCTCGTCCGAACTCTATATCTGCCAAACGGATCTTACTATAATTATCTACGATGTCGTTGCCTACTAGCAACTTGGCATTTCTTATCAGCCCCCTGGGTACTTTCGAGGTTATAGGTGGAGTTATCGCTTTGGTACGATAGCTTACCCTGTATTACTATTGTTCAGCTTAGTAGTAGACATCTTGTGGGCCTCTCACCTGACATAAGCGTTGCAGGTCTCCATTGCAACTATTGCCTCGTGGTCGTACAACGTGTTCTTCCACCCACTCTCGAGCTATCCTGGGCCTCGGCTCGCCGCAGCCAATAGGCTCTGGTACGCCTGGCACTGTGCTAACGGTTCTTTACCTTTTGCCATTCACGAGCTTCACGTAAGGTATGGTGATGTAGTCCGGGTGGCTCCAGATGAGCTTTCGTATATCCACCCAGAGGGGTGGAACGAGATTTACGGTCATCGTCCTGGAAAATCGGAGATTCCGAAAGATCCAAGCTTTTATTCGAGTACACTATCTGGTCCGGAAGGTGTCTTTCGCGCCCCCCGGGACCGCCATGGATACCTCCGAAGACAGATGTCACATGGATTCTCAGATAAATCGATGAGAGAGCAAGAGGACACTATACGGCACTACGCGGACCTAATGATTAGCCATCTGAACACTCAAGCCAATGGACAGAAGGAGAATGTTGTGGACTTTACCCGTTGGTACAATGTGGGTAGTAAATTGATCTCCTCCCTCAGTATACTTGTTTGGCTCGTTGGACTGAATTTTCTATAGTATTTTACATTCGATGTCATGGGTCAATTGGTCTTCGGGGAGTCCTTTAATTGTCTTCAAAGCTCTGATTTTCACCCCTGGGTCAGCATAATATTCGACAGCATCCGTTACAATGTTTACAATCGATGTGCCCAGTTCTGGCCCTGGCTAAGCCCGGCCATTCGAAGGCTTATTCCGAAGAGCTTCCAACGCCATAAGATTGAGCAGCAAGCGCTAAGCCGGGAGAAGGCAAAATATCGGAAGACCATCCATGACGGGCGGAATGACTTAGTTGCCAATCTCCTCAAGCCCAACAGTGGTGTAACTGATTCGGAATACCAATCAACGGTACAGACATTGATCGTTGCGGGCAGCGAAACTACTGCCTCCTTGCTATGCGGTGTTACTTTCCACCTCCTTAACAACCCAGAAAAATTGGAAAAGGCTGTGAGAGAAGTCCGAAGCGAGTTCGATTCAGCAGAGAAGATCTCCTTCGTCAGCGTAAATAAGCTACATTATCTTCTAGCTTGCCTGAATGAAGCCTTACGAGTTTATCCCCCTGTGGCAGACGGATTCCCCAGGAACACGGGATCTAATGTAGAGGTGATAAATGGTCGGCCAGTGCCCCCAAATGTAAGAATTGAATAAGCTGAATCTTTCATCGAGTGTCTTGGAAAAACTGATTAATAGATTGCAGACTGCCATTCGCATGACACACTGGGCGACCTACCGTTCTCCTCGAAACTTCGTGCGCCCCAATGAATACATCCCTGAACGATGGTTAGGCAATATTCCAGGATTCGAGAACGATCACAAAAATGCCTTACAGCCGTTCCATGTTGGACCTCGCAATTGCATTGGCCGAAAGTACGTATTTCCCCCGAACCTTACTGTTTGACGCCAGCTGACGAACAACAGCCTTGCATATATGGAAATGCGCTTGCTGTTGGCTTTGGTGCTCTGGAACTTTGATCTAGAACTTTGTCCAGCTTCGAAGAGCTGGGATAACCAAAGAGTATACAATCTATGGGAGAAACCAGAGCTGAAGGTTAAGATTTTACCTAAGAAACTATAGTCTCAGAGGTCTCATGATTGTCAACCCTCTGCGTTGACGGTGCTCACATTGAAGGAAGGTCCAGTATAAGAGAAGTATTCAGTTAAAAACGCTCAAAGTATCCATGGTGGGTATTACATATCTCAGGTTTGCAATGGAATATAGTGGACTAGTTCATTTTATGCTCTTTATGTCGATAACGAGTCAGTTAACCAAAATAACATTTATTGATTGCCGTACAGGGAGGTTTGAAAACTCACAATGTAAGAAGAAGAAGAAGAAGAAGAAGAAGAAGAAGAAGAAGAAGAAAATAAGGAGAGGACAGAGGGAATTAAAGGTAAGCCTGAGTAAATCTACTGTATCTTCTTGGGTTCCTGAGCACCAGCGTTCGTGGCCGGCCTCCTAGCCACAAAAGGTCGTGCTAGCTGACTTCTATGAATGCCATAAGCACGTGAGCGTGATTGCACATATAACGTGAATATGCGTTGTTGTGGAAGAAACTGACATTCCAGAGGAATTTTTCCGACTCAAGGCCCAGTTTACAAGGACTACCTTCATTGCTATAAACAAAAGTAAGTGTTTTACAACTATCCTAGAAGGTTTATTGAATACTACGGTTGCAGCATGCTATTGAGCCCCAGTATATATATAAGGGAAAGGAAAAGGATTGGGTGTATCTGTGTCAAATTTCGAGAACAAGGTCCAGCCAAGTTGCTATCAGTATACGAGAAGCAATGCTCTCAATAAGGTCTGGTCATCTGGTACAATCGGATGTACTTCAACTCATGTTTGCAGACATTTCCATGACGGCTACTCTCTTTACAACAATACAGTAGCAGCATACTTTCCTATGTCACATGTGTTATATATGGTACTAATACCAGATTAAGAAAGTTTGTTATTGATGGAGCACCAATTGGATTAGGGTTAATGAACCCCGAGTTTATAGATGATTTTCACCCTCTGGAAAAGGATTATAATGTGCACAGAGGCTCATGGCGGATTTATAGCTTTCCTTATTAGTAATTGATCTTATGTTTGCAAAAGTTGCAATCCAGTGATTGTGCCTGGTATCTCCTACTATGGACTGACTCCCGTTAGTAACAGGATGTGTGCTAAATTGTCCAATAAACACTGGACAAATTAGGAAGGGAATACGGAAACTGGAAAGAAAACAATTCTAACCTAGGCAAGAGTGCCTCCCTATCTAAGTGAGAACCCATGGTGTAAAATGTAACCTCTGTCCCTTGAGCCTTGACCGGCCGGTTCATAAGTCTCCGAGCCCAACGCCTCATCAAATGCAGGTATCATATCCTCAATCATGTGCATTTATTCTTCAACGTATCCTATCATTACTGTACCATTCTTCAAGCCCGCATCTTCCACACTGATGTCAAGAGAGTCGAGCAGATTGTGACCCAGGGAGTTGAGCTCGAACTCCACGCCCGCTTTATCTGGCAACGGAGGATCGGCCTTGAGCCATTCGTAGATTCTTCGGACGGGATCCTTCAGAGCGAAGCGTCGGATTACTCTTCCGGACGGATGGCGGAACTGAATGCGTGTAGTCGTAGCCGGGTCGCGGGGGGCTCAGTGTGAGGCTTATCATCTGGAATTGAGGCGAATGGAGATGTTTCAGCTTCGCCCTTTCCGCCTAGATCTGCTTCACCCATGCTGATGTCTTCGGTATCGGCTGCTCGACCTTTGCCTTTCACGTCCTCGACGCTCCGAGTCAACTCGTCGGGATCTTCCAATTTCTGAGATTGAGAGGGATCTCCACCAAGCTATTTCTCATTGCCAATTCCATCATCTCTTCTTCCGTCATAGCATCAATGCTCTTCTCCTTCTGCTCTGGTTTCCGCTTGGCTACTGGATTCCGCACATTGTGGTTAAGACTGTAACGGTCGAGAAATTCATGCAGTTGCATCAGGAATTCTGCAGCCTTCACTACAGGCGGCCCGGACCACACCTTCATCTGCTCGCCGGTGCGTGGGTCAACAATGGCAATATGAGGGTAGTTGTCGGAGACGTCGCTCGCTTGAAAATAGTATTGTAGGTACTGCGCAGCTCGTGGGTCGTCTTTAGAGTACTGCAGGAAGAGGAAGTGTTCTTTGACAGTGTCTCGGATCCCAGCGTCCTTCCATAGGTCCCTGTTCAACAACTGACAGTCAAAGATGGAGGGGTCTTGTATATTAACCAGCAGCCACCTCTCATTCTCACGGCCTTCCTGACGGGCTAGATCCCAGGGGAGTCGTGACATAATCTCAAAAGGCGGACGGTACATTTCGGCAAGCATATTTGATTTATTCGAAGCATCGGACGCACCCCCGGTTGCTTCTGAAAGCCTTTGGCGACGTGAGGCCTCGTCTTCCCCTGTCCATATCGAAGAAGTATCCCTCTGATTGAAGATACCAGGTCGATCTAACAGGTGTTAAGGTTAGATGACGAACGTGAGAGGGTATTGATATGGGGATACTAACTGTTTCGTTGCTGGCGAGCGCGCAATTGGCCCAGTATGCTTGCGTGCATATCGCCATCGTCGAAGTCCGCATCTGGGCCTACGAGTGTTTCTGTTGTGCGAGCCATCGGAGCACGCACATCATCATCTTCAACTGCTGCTCCCCCACCTCCCCCACCACCATACATTTCCTCTTGGAGACGCCGAGCCATGGCCTCGTCATCTTCATAGGTAGAATTTGGTGGCGGTTGGTGCCGAGGGGTAGATCGCGCTTCGTCAACAGTGACCTCGTCATCAGAGCCGATATGTACAGCCCCGCTATCGCCTGCGGTAGGTCGAACTCCTGGAGTGTCTGATGTAGATGGAATTAGCTCATCAGTTAATGGTGCGCCACCGTTTTCGAAATAAAGCTGCATGGCTTGTTCAATATTGTAATCGGCTAAGTGGAGATACTGAGTGGCTAGTTCAGGGCTCGAGCCCGTGATCTCGGTGAACTGAGCCACCACATCGTCGTTCATAGCGGGCAGGATTCCTGAGAAGGATTTGATAACGGCGAGTACTTGAGGAAGATGAGCGAGATGTTAACTTGTCGTGACAGAAGAAGCTATCCCACAAGATTTAGTGTATTGAGACTTGTGACGAATGTGATGCAAACAGCTGCAAACAGCTGCTATGAGCTGTAATTGCTCAGTGAATGAGAAGGATAAAAAGCCACCGAGGTTTTAATTAACAATGATCGCAGTTATTTGGTAAAATGAGTAAACCCGGCATACGAGCTTTTTGTCACTTGGCGGGATCACTGACACCAACGGAATGATCTGATCAGATATATGGCTTTGCAGAACAGGCCCGCATCATCAGGTAGAGCCGAGTGACGCACTTTCATTTGGTGGATTTACCCTTGGGATAATCAGATTCTCCGTCACCGCGGGGATAAGCGGCCTTTACGCGCCCGACTTAAGAGTTGCGTTATTGGCCTTCCCGCCGGACCGTAGCCAGGCCCATGTGATTTTCCTTTTTCGGGGCATTGGAGGACGCGTGACGCGAGTCGGAAAAACGCGTGAGGGCGGCGCGAATAAAAAAGGGACGGGCCAATTATGCCTGGTTGAGGCATAGTCCACCGGGTCTGCCAAGTACCTGTCATCGAACCTCTAGACCTAGTAGCGACCTATTACTTTTATGTGTACTACTACCACCTCTGTCGTACTTGCCTATTCATACCTTCTCCTCCACATCTGCTCCTTCCCCAGAAGCTACTGATAGTTTCGAGCGCTCACAATGACTGCTTCGGTTCTTGGCAAGCGCCAACGGAATACTCTTGAGGTAGGAGGTACGATTGCGTGACATGGACCTTTTCTTTGCTCTCTCCTTCCTCAGGCGTCGTTGAACCCAGCACATGCTAACTAATTGATATTAGTGCCAGTGCTACCTGTGCGCAGTGCCAGTAAGCGCCGAACACAACCGCCTCGCATCCTTCAGGAAGAAAATGCACCGTCTGCACCGACAACACGCCAACTGCGGTCAAAGACAAGGAGTGGCAGCACCTACCAACAGGAAAATGATGCCAAGTCTGAGGACGACTCCAATAGAATTGGAAGTGTGAAGGATGAAGAGCCGGAGCAAGAAGCGCTATCTCCCATAAAACCCCATTCGCGTATCCGTACCTCAACATCAATCAATGGAGGATTATCGACGAAGAAGTGCGGCGATCCTCAACCGACAACTATAGATGAGAATACGAGACCGGTTGAGTTTAAGACTCCTTCAAAGTCTAGATACAGGGACGCCCTTGACTCGCCGCCTATCACACCAAAGCACCGGGTTCAGGTCGGGGGAATCTCGTTAACTCCACGTACACCTCGACAGGCATCAACACCGCAAGCCACACAAACCACACAAACAATTTATACTCAGGCCAGACAATTGTTTGCCCGGGGCGCATATTCGGGTCGCCTTATTGGCCGTGAAGCGGAACGGGAAAAGCTAGTCTCGTTCATCCAAGATGGTCTCCAGTCACGACAAGGTGGCTGTCTGTATGTCAGCGGTCCTCCTGGGACGGGCAAAAGTGCTATGGTTAAAGAAGTATGTGATGAGCTTGACCTGGGCTCTGTGAAGGTTACGCATGTCAATTGTGCGAGCATGCGAAGTGCTCGAGATGTCTATAGCAAGCTCATCGAAGATCTCTGCGACGACCAGCAGATTTTCAAAAAGAGTGAAGCAGAGAGGCTAAAAGCCATGTTCACCTCTAATAAGAAGCAGGATGATATGTATCTGGTTTCATTGGATGAAATAGACCACCTCCTTACCGCGGATGCGGGTATCCTGCAATCTTTGTTCGAGTGGTCATTGCAAGGAAAATCCAAGCTCATGCTTATCGGAATCGCCAATGCGCTAGATTTGACCGACCGTGCATTGCCACAGCTCAAGGCAAAGAACCTGAAACCTCGTTTACTTCCTTTCTTACCTTACAACGCTGGTCAGATCGCCAACGTAGTCACTGAACGTCTCCGCTCGTTGCTCTCTGGTGGCCAGTGCGATGATCCCAAATTCATTCCTTTTGTCCAACCGGCAGCTATTATGTTATGCTCGAAGAAAGTTGCATCGCAGACCGGCGATCTGCGAAAGGCTTTTGAGCTCATCAAGCGTGCTATTGATCTCATCGAGCAAGAAACGTTGCAGAAACTCGAAAAACAGAACGAGAACCCGGAGAGCCCTTCCAAAACAATACTCGTTGAGAATAACAACCTCTCATCCCCAAGGCCAAAGCAAAATCTTACATCAGCATATACAACACTTACTGCACCACGGGCCAGCATTGCCCATGTTGCACGCATTACTTCGGCCACATTTGGACAAGGGACTGTCCAACGACTTCAAGGCATCAACCTCCAGCAAAAGGCGGCCATTTGTGCATTGATTGCGCTCGACCGTAAACGACGTGAAGGAGAATTTCCAGGAACACCGTCGAAGACCAAGCATTCGGCCCCAACAATAAAGCAAATCTTCGATACCTACTGCACGCTATGCCGGAAAGATAATATCCTCCACCCACTTACAGCCACTGAGTTCAGAGATGTACTTAGCAACTTGGAGACTCTAGGACTGGTTGGAGAATACCAAGGCAAGGGCCGAGGCGGCACAGTTGCCGGTGGTTCGAACATCAGACGTTCTCCCTCTAAATCAATGAGTGGGCCTATGACCCCCAGCAGGGCTATGGATGAACAGAGCCTGGTTTGCTTTGTGTCCCAAAAAGAGATTGAAACTCAGCTTTCTGGCCCAGGAGAGGGAATCCTCAGACGGCTGCTCACTGGCCAGGGTTTGTGATATGTATAATGAACCGTACCGCACGGATGGAGTCTATTGGATAAATTTTGTTGTCAATCATTTGTACAGGTGTTGGATCCAGGGATACATTCTTTGCCTAGCGTTTATCATAGCATTCGGACATAGCGTTGTATAGTTTATCTAGATACGATCATAATGTTACTAAGACAATATGAGTTATACATAAGATGTCATAAATCGCGAACACGTTTCTACATATGAATAAGCTATCAGCTCATCGAAAACTGAAAGGGCTATACAATCGATTCCACACGGGTCGCTGAGAAGAGGACATTGTGAAAGCGCGCAAACCAAGAAGTAACACAAAATGGGAGGTAGATATTTCATGCATACAAAGAGACAAGTGGAATCAATAAAGGATAAAACATACATGGAATAAATTTCGAGGGGTATGCGAAACGATAGCGAACGGTATGGTATGGTTTATACTTGAATAGAAAAGAAAACAAATGGTAAAAGAAGGGCTTTGGACAAACATAATGAGTATATCGCAACTTCCATTGTCGTACATCAATCTCGACTAACAAGGCCTGCTGAAAGTCTGAATGATGCCGACTACATACATACATTTCCCTCCTGAGGCTGTACTTTTTTGTTCTTTGGTTTTCCGGATTCTTTGCTGAGGGTGATGCCAGTCATTCCTTTGTTTCGCTTCAATCGACAGTACGTTTAGTCATCATCCATTGGCTTGTCTTCCAGGGTTACGCCCTTGGGTTCGCTGTCAGCCAAGCTGTTGCGCTTGCTATCTGTTCCGGATTCGCTTGAGACGACAGGGAAGCTGGAGCGGTTGCCGAGCCCGGGCTTACGGGTGAATGAAGCACGATTGATGGAAGCGCGCTTCTCTGCATCAACGGCTGGAGTAGGAGTAGGGGTAGGAGAGTCCTCTGATGCTGTTGTCGCAGCCATGGGTGGGGGGTCGAAGTGCCAGAGGAGGGAGTCTCGTTGGCAGTAGCCGAAGCCGAGGAATCACTGGACGTGCCGTTGGGAGTAGCCTCAGTGGCAGGAGCATCAGTAGCAGCGTTGATGTTCACGTTTGATAGTTGTTCTTGAGCGGTCGGCGAGCTGTTGCTGCTAGGAACGTCTAGGCTGTTACGTGTAACCGTTCGCCTCTCGGTCGGGCTGGAAACGTTGACTGGGAAGCGGCCTGCCTCCGAGGGACCGCTGGAGCGATCCCGTCTGTGTTTCCGAGGAGGAGCAGGGCTGTTGGCCCGAGTGCGATCCATAATCGCACGGGCTCGAGCTTCCATAGCTGCACGACGGTTGCTCTCATCCGTGCTAATAGCACGGGGGCGGCTGATAGAGCCGGTGACCCCGAGAGCGCTGGACTGACGCTTCAGCTCGCCAAAGATTGCATCCTTGTGAGCAAAAAGGTCACGGATGAGACGATAGCTGTGACGCTCATTCATGGTAAGGCTACTCTCAACGCGTGGGCGAAGAATGCAAGGAGACAGTGCTTGCGCGAGTGAGGAAATGTAGGTTTCATCGGCAGATGTGAGGTCTATCAAACGTGTAAAATGGGTCATAACAGCATCAAGCGTTGCGATGTTATTGAGACGAAGCTGTCCCAGTGTGCTTTGCAAGACCTTGATTCGGCCTTCTTCCGTCGTCTCATGAGCGGTGGTGGAATAAATGGTCTTAACAATTTCGTAAACTTGCGAAGAAACAAGGGAATCTATCAAAAAATAGTCAGCATAGATCTCAGATGGGTTGATGTAAAGGTCGTACGAACCTGGCAACTCAAGCAGATACAATTTCAACACGCTTGCAACAATAGGAACCTCATATTTCTCTAGGACTTCCTGGTAGTCTATCTTGCTGTTGTTCAAGACATTCCGAAGGTGATGGGTGGCTGCCAGAGGGACATCATAAAGCCAGATAGCACGTCGTGCCTCATCACCCTCAAGATCCGGGTAACCTATAGTATTCCGTTAATGCCAAACTGGGGAGGCAGGGACAGCTGTGATCTTACGATTGTCAAGATAGGTCAAGACCGTAGTAACCAGGATAGGAACCCGTTTGCGATCGGCTCTTGCTCGGGCCTCAAGATCCACGCCGAAGTTTTGATCTGAACGGGTTAGTTATGGCCTAACTTCTACAAGACCTATTGATGATATCGTACCTTCTACAGAACCATAGTAGTTTTCATATGCTTGGACGCGAGGCACGAAGCCTCCGGTTCGGTAATTCTCAAGAAGATACCGGAGATCTCCAAGGGGCTGAATAGTCTCCTGGTACAGCATCATATGATCCACTGTGCTTTGCAAGTTGGGGATGACATTGCTGATTGCACCAGAGAAATCAAGGACAACTGCCTTAATCGCCTTAAGCCGGTCCAATTCACACTGTTCCATAAACCGGAGATTCTCCACAATCTCTTCCTCCAGTTTGCATCTAATCTGGTCCAGCTTCCGCACAGCAGCCTTGTACCGTTCATCAGCCTCGCGCGCTTCTCTGCGCAGCTTCTCCGCCGGCGTCTCATTCGGATGAGCGTTGTTGAGAGGGTTCCAGCCTGCTAACATTTCCGAGACAGTAGATATCGGGGACTCGCTGCCGTCCTCACTGTTCGCCATCGATGTTACACGCAAGAGAGGCGTCTTCTTTTCGGGGATGCCAGTGATTTGAAACACTTTGGGGCGCCATTGGTATCGCATCTTGGTGCTATTAGCGAATGTACTACCCATATTACCCACCAACCGGAGCAAGCCATTGTCGACAAGATCCTGCCCGATCCTTTCCGCATAGCTGACGCTGGTTGCGTTCATGTGTTTCTGGGTGTATTCCACGATGTCGGCACCGGTCGATGTATTCTGGTATGTGCCGATGATGGGTACCTTAACATCACCCATTTTGATGTTATCCAACATGTGCACCAACAGCTGCTTAAGACCCTCAGGTGTGTAGACGTGATCGCCAATCTCCATAGGCTCTTCCTCCTCTGCCTCCTCCGGTAGTACGATCTTGGGAGGCGCTTTGGCCGGCGGGCTAGCCTCTGGGGCCTGGAATGCGAGCTTGTTCTCTTCCTCCAAGTCTTCCACCACACGGCATTTGTTGAAATAATGGCTCCGCAGTTTCTTGACCAAGTCCGCTTGTTTTGTGTGTTCTTTGATACGGGCCTGGAGATCGTCGTGTGAATTCTGGATTCGTGCCTCATGCTGGTCGCACCAACGACGGAAAGGTGAGACAACTAATTCGCGAATGTTCGAGGCAATCTTCTGGTGATTCTTGGCGGCTTCGACCATCTCGGTGCGGACACCTTCATATGCCTTCACGTCGCCCAAGAGACTTAGTATACGTAGCACCAGCCATGGTCGGAGTTAGCCTACCTTCCTCACGCTTGCCCCATCGTCCTTTGCAAATCCTGCTCCCGTCAACCGGTCGACAGCCGGCGCAATATCCCCTAACCGGGCACCATATTGATCTTCCGCATCCGCACGCATAGATGCGATTGTGATTATCTGCTTGTTCTCGACAACGCCTTGCTGGAGCTTCCCATAAAGAACCCCCAGACCTGTGGCGTAGTCTGGTGTCCAGAACGAAGCCGCAAAACCGGACATCGTGACGGTTTGTCGAGGATGCGACCTGTGGGATTCGAAAAAGAAATGAACGGTAACTGTGGACTGGGTAGGGGTATCTCAGAATAGCATCAAAATTTAGAAAATGAATGACTTCTGTCGCCAACAAAGCCACTAATGAAAAACAAGCCACCAGGCTTAGGTTGGGTATTGTCCGCAACGAAAGGGCAGTTGCGCGGGCGGTGAATAAACAGAGAGTGACCAGCCTCGTTCACAGCGCCTGTTTCAAAAGAGGAGTGACAACGAATCCTTTCCGTGGCTTAGACCGGCTGCGAGCAAACATAGGCACCGGAGCGATCTATGCGAGGGCGGCTAGGAAGCGAATAGATGCCGAGAAAGAAAGACCCTAGGAAAGTGATAATCGTAAATACCAACAAACACAAAGAGAGTGGAAACTCCGGGTGAGGGTAGAGGACACCGATGCTCCAAGGACGGGATGGATGACAACAGGGGAAGATGATTTCTTTGCTGGCGGAGATCTGAGAGGAAAAGGTCGCTCCGGCTCCATGAGTGTAATTTACCGTTGTGAGACAACCTAGTCCATAACCACCTCAGCCTCACGTGTTTCAGTCGGGTAGCTATTTTTGGCCGCACCGTGAAATATTACACACTTGGCCAGACTTTTAGAAAGGTGTGACACCGTATTTACGGTGGAATACGCGGTTTGTGGGCCACTACAAATAGCGTGGGGACATCAAATACAACCATCCTTACGGCCGGTATCAGCTTTACCTATAGCAGTCTGGAACGTTCTCCATATACAAACATGCCAAGACTGGAGAACGACTGTGTCAACATCAACATTCCAAAAGCTTAGCACAACTGCCTCAGCGGTCGCATGGATGATGCCTGGACAGGGAGCAAGGCAATGGGATTCAAACAGGCTTACGACAACCATTTATGCTAGGAGCAATGCTAAAACCATGAGATTGGGTTATCAGAATCGGAATAGAGGCACATTAGTCATAATCGTACAGTGGAGATCAGCGTGTGAATTTCAAGCCTGCGAAACGAAACAATGATCATAAAACTCCCGATGCTAACAGAAGAGCTTATATACCTTCTTCCACGCAGGCCACTCTGCCTGTTCGGCTCGTTCCTGCTCAATCAAATACTGAAGGTCGAGATCGCGACGACCGGTTTGCAAGTCCATGTCCTTGGCCCGAATAAATGGCGTCTTGAACCAGAGCTTATACGGGATATAAAAGAGCAAGACAACGGGGGCAGCTAGATATACGGAGAACCAGGCCTCAACAAGCTCACCAGCAGTCATAGTGCTATAACCGATTGGCGCGAATCCAACCCAGAACTGTACGACTAGAACGAGACAGTTGAACAAGAACCCGACCCAGGAGCCAATAACTCCCGGTTGTGATTGGAAGGCGAGCTCCTTTAAGCTGTGGCCCT